ATCAACCTTGTATGCGTCACAAATGCAACGCAAGGGGGGAGAATGTCAGGGCAATAGCCCCGAACCCCGAGTCACATGTAAACTAGATACACATAGTCACGTGGACAAGCGGGAACCTCCGGGTAACCGCTTACACACCACCGTAAAATACATCATCTTGTATCACTTACGGCCTTGTGTGCTGAGCAACCCCAAAGACCTCACACACATTCATGTTCAATGATCCAGGTCAATTGCCAGCCAGATTGAATATAACAATGTAACAATTTGTTATTTAATGGAGGTATGAGATTAAATTAGGCTTGTGTGCACTCAGTCTAAACGCACTCATTGGTCTCTTTTCACACGTGGCATTTTTCCTGGTGGTGTTTAATCTTATGCGCCGTACCCACTGTCGGCCTTACGCATACTGTGCCTTCCAAGGTTACAGTCATGCTGATTCAGGTTTTTGCCACTGCATTCCTGGGTCGATTCTTCTGGACAATCTCATCCATGAGTTTCGTCCACCTATGCTACAGGGCTCTGGCCCTCTTATACCTTTCCTCTGCTGAAGGCGTGTTCTTTCTTAGTCTTTTCTTTTGTCCTGTATGCTGTTTTTTGACGAAGACATTCCTTCGTCTTCCTTGCTTCCAGTAAGCCTTTCGGTCTCACCAAGGGGAGGTGTTGTGACCTTCGGTTACTCTCAGTGGGTGGGATCCCAATTGCTTACTTAGGTTTTTCTAGGTTTCCTTTTTTTGGTTGTTTCCTTGCCCGCTGTAACTTCTGTCTTTCTTTCCTTATTGCTCGTTGTCCTTGTCGTTTGTGAAACCCTCCTCCTTCCCCGGTCTCCTCCCTATTGTAAATTAACCAGGTCACCTTCAATTCCAGAGGTTCTGGCATTGCCGGGACTGTTGCCCTGCTAATCGCTTGAGTATCCTGCGTGCACACAAGAAATGCGGACAACTCCGCTACAACTGGTTTGGTGTCACGCGTCACGCTGGGTTGCCGGTTTGACAAAACTCGAGACTTTTTCCCACACTGGCACATGACCCGGTAGTTGGTTGTGCCAGTACAGCACTCTAGGGTTTCCTCATACCCTTACCTCGAAGCAATTGGCTCACTAATGTATGCCACTCTAGGAACTCGACCAGATATCTGTGCTGCTGTTCGGGCACTCCCTCCTTTCACAGTGACATTCGGACGTGAACATATTGAGGGGATCAAACATATATTCAGGTATCTTGCAGGCACTATGAACTGGGGGATAGTATACACAGCGGGGGGAGGGGAACTCGTGGGGTACACAGATGCGGACTGGGCGAATGATGCAATGAACCGAAGTCGATCTCAGGAAATGTCTTCTTGTTGTCTGGGGGAGCAATCTCCTGGATGCCGAAGCAGCAGACTATCATAGCTGACTCATCAACATATGCAGAGTACATCGCAGCAGCGGATGCAGCAAAGGAACTGGTGTGGCTGTGACAACTTCTCGAGGAACTACATGAAGGCATCGCCGGGCCAACAATCTTACACATTGACAATCGCACTGCAGATCTACTCGCTCGAAATCCCATCAACCATGCCACCACAAAGCATGTCGATGTACGATACCATTTCATCAGGGAATGTATTGTGGATGGGACAGTCAGCCTCAAGCTCATAGGGACCAACGATATGACGGCCAATGTTCTCACCAAGTCCCTTGCGAAGGTGAAGCACAAATGCTTCTGCCTGATGATGGGGATGGAGTATGTGGCCTAGAGAAGGTGTGGATGTCAGGCTGTGGGGGAGTGTTGATGTGGCAGCCCGACGCCACACAAGGACAAAGGGGAGGCGGAGCTGCAGGCAAAGCGTTGCCGAGTGGCAAACCCTTAGTCGCACAAAGCGTCGGAGGCGCTAGTTTCACCATTGTTATCCGCTTTGTTATGTTAGATAGACATAAAAGGGTGAGGATTACCTGAGTGCGATGCTCAACCCCATTTGACATCGCGCTCTAGACACCGCACTCTAGTCTTCCTCCCGCTGATTTACACAGACTTGCACATCTCCACACCGAGTCAGCAACTGATGGTGGAGGCTCTATTTCAGATGGTGATGACATTTGGATGGATGAACGGGGCCAGTTATCGAGAGGCACATGGAGATTTCATGTGACCCGTGACTCTTCTCTCACACCTGTGACTGAGATGCCAACTAAGCGCCAGTGCTTGCCATCTCCTGAACGTGGGAATCCTCTTAACAAGAAGGTAGGGATATATTTTTCCCAAATATGAGAGACTGATTGTGTTTCTTTCGTTAACATGTAGCTTAAAATATCAATATCAGACATTCCATCATCAGAGGCTGATGTTGTAGGTTATGGATCAGACACTGACGAAGTATGATAGTCAATTTACTGTGAAAATTTGCTGACTTTATTTATTCCAAATCTGTCATATCCGTGCATACCCGATCCCGACCCGACTTCCGGACCTCCTCCTTCCCCACCTCCGGAGTCCTACCCTACCGCTGTCCATTCCAATATTCACCTTCGGTCCTGGCACCACACCTCCTCTTACCTCCCTTGCCACCTCCACACCTCCTTCCCTCTCCTCCCCTATCTCCGTCCGCTCCGATACTCACCTTGGACCAAACACCGCCCCCTTGCCACCCTCCTACTACTCCTCCTACTCCTCCACTCCTCTCTCACAACACCTCCACCCTTCCATCATCCTCCTACGCTTCTCCCGTCCGCTCCGATACTCACCTTCGGACCTGACAACTCTCCTTTCCACCACTCCTTCCCTCTTCCCTTTCTCCTCTCTCTTGCCTCTGGTACTCTTCCGCCGACCTCCCACCAAGTTACAACCTTCCACCACTGTCCTGTACTTCGTACTCAGGCACCGCTCGTACCTTTGCTCCGAGCCTCCATCATAGTTCCTACCTCAGACTTTGACTCCACCTCAGTCTTAGTCCATTGCATTGGTGACCTCATACTATGTAAACACCATTGCCAATATTCCTCGGACTTTCAACCCCACCTCTGTAAGCTCCGCAACCTCCGAGCTTCGCAGATCATCTTCAGCACTTTCGCCGCTTGTAATGTATCTCTTGCATTTTCCCCTCATCCCCATTTGGACTGCTGCTTCTTCCCATTCTAGCCAGCACTTCCCTCATCCTCCTGCCCCTCTGGGCCTTGCCCTCCTTACCTCCTTTCAGATGTATCACAGGTTTTGCCTTATCTTTGTTTCCTTGTGCTTTTGCCCCCCATTATATATATCAGCGCTTGTACATACTCGTTGGAGGCTCAGTCCGAAATCGACCTGAAATGCCCCCTAGAGACTTCCTGCTCGCCTACTGTGAAATTAAGGACCAAATGGACAAACAGCAATGGCACAGCACTCCGCTTGAGTCGCTGAGGCCAAGGTCCATCCACGCTAAGTCTCCAATTCCACTCCGGAGTCATCTGAATTCGCCCGTCTCTAACAAAATCCAGACAGCCAACAAAGAAGAAGAAATACAGGGCTTCATGAAGAATCTTGAGTGCACACTGCAAATCCTCACAACCCAAACAACCCACAGCAACCCCAAATGGGCCAAGGCCATCACCTCAACACCGCTATTCACTAGTGCAGCAAAGGTAATCGGGGAGTACGTCAAAGTCGTGGACAGCCACGAGGCCCAACCTGGACGGACCTGGCCAAAGAGTACCAAAGAGCGAAGGGCATCCCCATACACGCTCTACCATCAAGTCTGAGCCAGAAGGGTAGCGATAGTGTGTTGTCAGGGTATTCAGGTCAGCTGGCTCAACAAATTACTCTTTCTAAGTTTTCTCATATGACATCACTTTTGACTTAGAATGCAGTTGGGCACTGTTGTATATACGTGGACAATTGAAATCAAGATCAATTCCTTCCCGCTCACTGTGCTCTGCCAACTTTGGAACACTGTCATTAAGCCTAAACCGGCCATGGTGGCCATGAAGTCTGTTAAAAGGGAAAGAACTGTCCTGCCACTGGTGGAATCGAGCGCGAGAGTGTTGATGAACCCCTTTGCCACTCATGACAGTGGTTCAAATTCAGAAGTGACTCAAGCGGTTCAGTTATTTCCAACGGATCATCTATGCTAATATTACAAAGTCATAGAAGTTGAGTCCATCTACAGTTTGAAGAGGAGCTCGAGCAGAAAGAATACCTGAATGCCAACTCATCTTACTAGTGAGAACACCTTCAATCCACGTTGAACAAATAAGCCGTGACAACACGCTGGTACGCATATCTGTGTGTTCATATCTTTACAGACATATACCCTTTTGCTTTGTGTGCTGCGTGTTTTACTCATTCACAATGCTCCAGCATTCCGCGGTGGTAGCGCCTCCCATTATTTTTGTTTCATTACTTTCTACACCCCTTCACTGCTTCACCGCGTGCGCGCGGTTACAATGTTATCTTGCCATCAACTCATACTTGCTTCCCCTATCTTCAGTGATACGGACATCTTGGAAGTCAACTCAATTCATCACGTCGCATGGTTCTCTCAAAATCAAAATCGATGCTTTCCTGCCTGCTGTGCTCTGCCAGCGTTGCGATGAACGGTGCCCACATAGGCATTATGCTGTTGCTGCCCACAACAGTGGTTCAGATTTCAGATTACTTGTAACTTAGACCGTCTCCGCGCATTGACCATTTCAATATGATTATTTATGGTAATAATATATGAACTATCTCTAGTTGGTCTTGAATCAATTTCCCTCATTTTCGAGACATTTCCCATGTCGAGCACATGACTATTGTCCGTTCTACTATGGGGCGTTATTAGGTTTAGTTACTTAATCCACCGGTAAGTGGACCTTAACCCGCTGGCAGACAGAACGAATATTTGATGTGGGAAATGTCGCGGAAATGGGATTATCCCCGTGTAATCCTCGCCATTTCCTACGCGGAATTTTTTTGGCTTAAACGCAGTGGGTGTCATTAGGTTTAGTGTTATAGTGATTCCGGGCAGCGAGTATGGAACCAAATTGTGCCACGTGACAATAATACCGAAAACGGCAGTAACGCGTTGCGGCGATTTCCAACGCCCTTGAGGAACGCGCTGGGTGTGGTGTTAGCTCTCAGGAGCGGGCTCTCGAGAGCTAGGGAGCATGGAAACTAATATCCAGAGCAGCTCCAGACCCATACCGGATTCCGTGACGCGGCAGGCGCAGCTCCAGGCCCCAGAAAACGAAAACAATCCTTTAACCTTTTATGAGTACCTCCAACGCGACCGGCATCAAGACCCGCTGTACCGATGCGCTCAGCCTAATGCATCACAAGCATTTGGTTGGGAGCCAGTCATACCGGATACTATGCATCAATGCATCAATTTTCGCGGGGTCGACTTGTTAGACATGGCCCAGCAGTATGTCGAAGCGGAATTGCGAAACCCAGTGCAACATTATTCAGTGCGCTTTGCCCGCTTATTGCACTGGTTCCTACTCCTGGTCATTTTTATACCTTTGAATCTCGTGGTATTATTTGTTTGGACTCTGCCCATCGCAACCCTCGTAAGTGCTATTTCATTGAGATCGAACCACAGATTCCTCATCCCACCTCTTCAGAACTCAATGAGAAATCATCCGCTACTACCAAAAAAGTTTCCCCCATACCATTGGGCCCTCAGGCTTAGTTTATGGGTTATTTTCGTTCCTTACGCGAAAATAGCTTCATATGGCGGTTTGCAACCAATGCTATTCCTCCGGACTCTCCAGCCTCCATACGGACATGCCAGGGTTAGTTCTCTTCAAATTACCATCAGGATGCCGAAAATAATATGGTTGTTCATCATAGCAAACCTGTCTACAACTAGGGAAGGCCTTGGTTGAACAGCGAGAAAGACGACTTAAACATTTAAAATTAATCGTATGTTAAATGTGTTGGAGTATATCTACTTTCCCGTCTGTCTAATATTTGACCGTGTCAGCAACAAGCCTTGGCCCAGGAGGAGCAAAGAGCTCTTCAAGACTTAATAAATATGTTACCGGAAAATGAGGAAGACGGAGTTCGCAACATACCCACTACTTCCAAGAAACCAGCCTTCAACACTGGAGTGATGCGAGAACAGACTCAGGCTTGGCGACGCAGCGCGAGAGACTCCCAGTTTGTGAAGGACCAGGTAAGATAAATTATGACTCAGTTGTTCTGTTAATGGCCTCCACCAAGATTGCGGCAGTAATTGCAGAGATCCACGAAGTTTCCGAAATCTCCAAGACTCAGACCAACAAGGAATTGACAGGCTATGCAGGTGAGTGTTGCCTTTCAATAAGAATGGGCAGTGCTCATCTATGGTTCAGGCGTTTCTGATTGGGGGAAAGTAAGATTCTATCTGCTCCCTTGCTGGTCGTGTGCAAACTGTCATGTTCTCAGGAAGCTCTCGAGGCGCGTTCGGCGTTCCTCAACGCGATGACTGTCATCTGTGTCCTTGGAGCTGGCCTAAGCTACTCATCCACAATGAGGTATGCACTTTTGGGCCTCCATTGAACCCCTGTTGACATACACCACTCAAGTGCCCTAAGAGGAAACATCTCGTACATGTGCTATTCATTCGCCCTTTTTATGATCGGCCTAGTTGTTATCACTTTAGTCCAAGTCGTGCTGACTTGGTGCAGTCAACGCTCAAATTACCCCTTTGCAGCACCATTCTTTTGGGATTTCGTGATCGACATTCTACAGTGTGGGGCTTTTGCGACTGCTGCTGCAGCAATCATTCTCCTTATGGTCTCCGTTCAAGTGCTCGTGGTTCCCAACAGTTCCACCAGTGATGCGATCCGAACTTTCTCGCCAAAACCAGCGGCATATGCGACATACGCGGTATGCATACTTTGCTCCTGTTTACGGCTTACTCACAACCTTGCAGCTATTTGGCACTATTCTTATTCTACTAATCGTGGCTCTCTATGTGTTTTGGTCCGCTAACGCTAACGGTTTCAAATTCTTCTTGGCCCAGAGATTCGTCCACCGCCGCCACATGAGGACGAAAAGGCTAGAAGATTTTGTCTCCTATCCTGACTTTGATGGAATCTGACATGTTACTATGCACCCAAATCACTATCACCCCACCTGATGTATACCCCCCACTTTTGAAAACCCAACATTTTAGAATTCTACTACTGCCCTGTTTACACTACAATAGTTAATAAACCCAGCGACTGAGCGCATGTCTATTGATAACACAAGTGATGATTGCTTCGCCTTTACTGTTCCCGAAGTACAATAAGAGGATGTCACTGTCGAAAATTTGGCAATAAAATGTTTAAGAATTGCGGGATGGCTTTAACCTTCTCAGTGGACATTCTAAGTCCGATGGAGAAAGGCAGTAACCGGGGTACCCCGTAGTTTCTGTATGGAACTCGCATTTCTTCGGGTTGGTGGTCTCCTAAGGATGTCATCTAGATAGACTACCACAGATACGCAGGATAACCTACTACACCCTACACCACCGAAATTTCGCGTTTTACATTCCTTACAGGTTCCCCGCATGCGAGGACCACCTACCAATGTCCACGGTGCATAAACACAATTTCATTTTATAGCGGAGTACAATTGAATTGCTTCAGTCCAAATTTTACAATTGGCACTACTGGTTGCAGAGCAATGACTAAGGGCTCATAAAATAGAGAAAAATAGGAGACCTGGAAATTCAGAAAAATCACAAAAGATGCATACAAAGATTGAGTTGACCTGGGGACTTTCACAGTGTAGGGAAATGTCAGGGCCCGGCCTCTGTCTGGGGGCAGCCCTACCTCAGAGCTGGACACTTGCGGTGTCCCAGGCAGCCAGGTGCTGGATCCTATCCCAAGCTCCTCAAACTCACTAAGTGGGGATTGAGTTGTCATGTATTATGGAAGGTAGCTACAACTTGCCTAAGCAGGGATTGAGTTGAGAAGAAGGGTAAGTTTCCCTATTCCCCGCTTGGCAGCTATAAAAGGGAAATGTACTGTACAGTTTGTAACGTGACTATGGGTAGAAGCCAAGCATGTTCCTGCGATGCGGAAAAGGTGTCACATGGGTTAAGGCGAGTTGCTCACCTTGACCCACGTGATTTTTCCCACGGGTTTGCATGCGGGCTGTAGTTGTGAGAGGTGTGTAAAGATGGGAGGATCAGGGAAGTGGGGGGAGGTCAGGGAAGGTGGTTCTGGGGTTGTATGGTCAGGTGTGGTTGCCCTGACAGGAAAGTTCTGAGGACATCATCAATGACTGAAGAATGACCCTCACATGCCTGGACACTTGTGAGGTCTCAGTGGGGTTGCTCAGCACACAAGGCCATAAGTGTCATATCCATACATACCCGATCCCAATCTGACTCCCGGACCCCCATCTTCACCACCTCTGGAGTCCTACCCTACCACTGTCCATTCCGATATTCACCTTTGGACCTGACACCACTTGTCATATCCGTGCATACCCAACCCCAACCCGACTTCCGGACCTCCACCCTCTTCACCTCCGGAGTCATAACCTACCGCTGCCATTCCGATACTCACCTTCGGTCCTGGCAACACACCTCCTTCTACCTCCCACGCCACCTCTACTCCTCCTTACCTCTCCAACCCTATCTCTGTCCACTCCGATACTCACCTCGGACTGAACACCGCCCCTCTCGCCACCCTCCTCCTACTCCGCTCCCCCTTCACAACACCTCCACCCTCCCATCATCCTCCTTTCCACCACTCCTTCCCTTTCCCCTCTCTCCTCCCTCTGGTACTCCTCTGCCACCCTTCCGCCAAGTTACGACCTTCCACCGCTGTCCCATACTTCGTACTCAGACACCGCTCGTACCTTTGCTCTGAGCCTCCATCATAGTCCCTACCTTGGACTTTGACTCCACCTCAGTCTTAGTCCATTGCATTGGTGACCTCATACTACATAAACACCATTGCCAATATCCCTCGGACTTTCAACCCCACCTCCGTAACCTCTGTAAGCTCCGCAACCCCCAAGCTTCGTGGATCGCCTTCGACACTTTTGCCGCTTGTAATGTCTCTCTCGCGTTTACCCCTCATCCCTATTTGGACTACTGCTTCTTCCCATTCTAGCCAGTTAGTCATCATCCCCACTTCTCCTCATCCTCCTGCCCCTCTGGGCCTCGCCCTCCCTACCTCCTTTCGGATGTATCACAGGTCTTGCCTTATGACCTTCAGTACTGCTCCGCTTCTTCTACGCTTTGTTCCCATTCGGACGTCTTCGTTCCGATTCGGTTTCCCTTTGTTTTCCTTGTGCTTTTGCCCCCTCCATTATATATTCGGCGCTTGTACATACTCGTTTTGGTTCAGTCCGAAATCGACCTGAAATGCCCCCTAGAGACTTCCTGCTCACCTACTGTGAAATTAAGGACCAAATGGACAAACAGCAATGGCACAGCGCTCCGCTTGAGTCGCTGAGGCCAAGGTCCCTCCATGCTAAGTCTCCGATTCCACTCCGGAGTCGTCTGTATCAGCGCCCCGTTCTAACACCACTCCTCTCACCCCTCATGCCACCTCCACCCTTCCATCCTTCTCCTACCTTATCTCCATCTGCTCCAATACTCACCTCAGACCGAACATCACTCCTCTCGCCACCCTCCTCCTCTTACTCCTCACGACACCTCCACCCTTCCATCACTCTCCTACCCTACTTCCATCCACTCCGATACTCACCTTTGGACTTGACACCCTTCCTCTCCTCCACTCCTCTCCCCGTTCCTCTCTTCTCTCTCCTTCCTCTGACCCTCTCCCGCCAACCCTCCACCAAGTTATGACCTTCTGCCACTGTTATAGAGAGAACCAAGTTGAGGGCGGCTGGACGAGAATATAGTGGACTCTTAATTAGGAAGGTATGCGATACAAATATATGTAAATATGGGTTTCGAGGTCGTTCTTCCAACACACCCTCTCGAACGAAGAAACTAAGGAGAAAGAAGTATAAAGAATGCAATTAATAAAGAGCATGTGATTCAGGATAAGATCCATCCACATCTGCTAGCTTCACATGTCCCTTCTCCACTGATCCAGACTTGGTTGTATTATTTTTTTGATGGCGACGTGCTTCTCAAGTGCTGATGTCACAGTTACTCCGCATGTGGTCCAAAGCACCACAGTTGTAACAGGTACCCGGTGTTTTATGAGTCCGGGTAATGTTCACCACAGCTGGCCCATCTATAGATGTGGCTTCGCGCTGACGGGCTTCTTCATTTAACAATCGTCTGATGACTTCTTGAATAGTTGCCAGATTTGCTGAATAATCTGGGCTATCAAGGAGGGTGTCAACAAGGACAATAAGGGGAGTGTAGGATTCAGGGAGATCATGGATGAGGGTGTTTACAATGTCGATGGGGATCATGGGGGAATTGCTATCGGCAAGACGACGAACCATGTCTTCAACCTTTGTGACCCAATCCCACATTGAGAGCTTAGGGTCATAGCCCATTGAATTGAATTGATGGCGAAGTCCAGCAACGGAACTGTGGCCTTTGGCACGGAATAATGTTTGGAGTTTCTTCCAGGTGCCACAAGCGTCAGAACTATCGCAATGTGTGATGTACTTGACCGACACATTTAGTAAGATTTCTGTGGCTGTGAGGTCATGTTTCTTTTGCCAAGCAATGATGGTCTTGTGGTGCATGCTGTAGGAGAAATAATATTCAAAGAATAAAACAATGATCTATCAGAATAGTCAACGAACAGGTGACAAGTTCAGACGTTTAACAGATCTCATGATCTTTATGAGACTGGACAGACATTAGAAGATCATTATAAAATATCTACACCCATGTAGTATGAGATTTAATCTACTACAATCATGCCTAGAACTTGACATAGGTGTAATATTCAAAGAATATATCCCTACAACAAGAAAATAGCACATAGACGGCAGAATAAGAAGGAACATTGGGAAAGAAATGTAAACATCTCGGGAACCAGTAAACCTTTGACTGTAATCTTTTTACCATCTGGAAGGACTGTTTCTTAACTTTATCCACGGTTTTGTTTCATTCTAGAAGCTTCAAAACTGACGGAGATATCGCTCAAACGGCGAAACACCTTATAATTCATATATATTTATTTGCTAATTCTTACAAAAGGTAATGTGACTCAAGGGAAATATATTGGCGCCCGGAAGTCTGGCGGACCGAATACCATATGATAGAGTATTCCCCGGCGCGGGCGGACAGTTTTTGATCGCATCAGAAGAGGAGAAAATGCTAAAAAACCGGATCTTGTATATTTTCCCATGATTCATCAAAACTTTTTGATTTTAAGCCCAAATAAATCGGAACAAAGGAATGATTGATGATCTGGATCTCGGATCATAAGCATGAAGTGATTCAGAAGTCCGCGGATCAGTTAATTAATTGGGAAGGCTCTAGAACATTAGTAATGATGTGGCTTCACAAAAAGGGGTCAATTAGAGAACAGTCTAGAAAGTTCCTTTATAGCCGAGTCATTTCTAAAGATAACCGTTCGTAATTAAGGCGGTGTAGAGCATAGCTTCAGCGCTACAAGATCCCGTTGAGATCGGCCCAAAAGACAAAGAAATGAATTACTTATTGCTGAGTCATGTCCTAAGTCCATTATTAAGCTTACACAGCCCAAGCCCCTATATCATTCTAGAACTATCTATAATACAAATGTAGCACATGTAACTAGTGCGAGGCGTGGGAGTAGAGAGGCCTCTGAAAAGCATAAAAGGCCACCGCTTCTGCCCCCTCTCAAACCTCAGGTAGAAATAAAAGTTTAATTCTCCTCACCAGTGGTTGGTTCGTTTGCTCCAAAAGATAAAAGCAAATATTAGTTGTTAGCTAATATAAAACTAACACGTCACTCTAAGCGTGAGTTAGGGTCAGTTAGACACAGCTGAACAAAAGTGTCATAGTGAGAATTAGTGAGAATTTGGTGGAGGGACTTCTTAATTGAATAATCTCTCAGCAATACTTGGTTATCACACCACAGGAGAAAAGTGAGCGATCCTGAACCTGCTAGATAACTAGCATGCACTCTAAGCGATAGAAAGAGCAGTTTGGTCACTCCTGTATTGAGTAACATTTATTGCGGAATTATTTTATTAGCAGTTTTCCTTCAGTAAATTATCAGGAAAATCACATCCTACTGAAAAGTGGTAAATATAGGTGTAATATTGACTAGAAATCATAGTAAAGTCAATATAGAATTTTATCCGTAGACGATCTATACATCAGGTGAGATCGTTGGGGGGTGTTTATTGTTGTTTAGACAGTGAACAATCATATATTTGGCAACCAAAACACGGTCAGTATGCAAATCAGCACAAACTCTAATATCGTTATTGGACGTAGGAAACTGGTTACATAAGGTGATCCAGCTCCGCTCCTTCACCGCACATTCTAACAATTTCTATATTCCTGTCATTGGTATAACTTCACAACGGCTGGACCGTTTGGGCTGAAAATTTGCATAGCTATAGTTCCCTATTTTTCATAATTTCCGTGTAAATTTCGTTGTATGTTTTAATTATGGATCCTACGTAAACATCGTCTTTTCCCTGAGCCCGGACTTTTGATGTCACTATTCCCGTTATTGGATATCTCATTAATGCGTGATCCTTTTATTATGGAAATTTGGGTGGATTAAGATTAGATCCCTTCCTTTCAAATGGGCTATCAAGCTTGTCTCGGTCGTTACTGGTTGTTCTTCATGCTTGCCTTTCAAATGTTGTCCTCGTTTTCCGGGAGTTTTTGTTATGGAAATGGGAATTTCCCATTTTAGACTCTTATGGGTTCTGTATCACATGATTTGTATAATAATTAAGTTTATCCAATCAATAATCAACAAAAACCCGCTGCCACATTACCTGTTCAACATCATGTTAAACCATCTGTGAAACAACCTGTAAACCCTTATGTTCAACCCCCTTCCCTATTCCTGCACCAGAACGGACGAAAATGGGCGCTTCCGGCCCCATTTTTGTAACAGTTTTAGTCATATCTCCGTCGTTTATGGGTAGTCTTCCCTGTAATTACTTTCATTGGGTCCGTTTGGGGGACATCTACATTTCCTACTATAAACGCGACTTTAAATTTTGCATTAGTTTCTAAGGAATCCTTGTTCCGTGGTACTTCCATCCTCGGCTACATGTGTGGATGTGGGAAAGTAGTTTCCATGGAAGTTCTCTGGCTGTTTTTATAGTCAAATCTTGGTCGATTGTCCTAATTCTTGGTTTAATATTTGCTATAAATTCCCCCAAGAATTCCGTCTTGTTGATGCAAAGCTTGAAGTATTTTTGCTAATTTTCTTTCTTCCATTTTATTGTATGTAGTTGTAATAATTTGTGAAATGTCGTAAAATTTCGTTAAAATTCAGGTTCTTCTATTTTCTCATATCTACTTGTCGTATGGAGTTTTGTGATTTATCTGGCATATTTCCATAATGGGTTTCTATAGTGTGACCGTTATTTCTCCTACAGCGTTTCACTTCAGTGGCATAGAACTGACATTAGATGTATATAAGGATAGGACTTGCACTGAGAGCCGATACATCACTAATAGATGTATCGTGCTGCTCAGATTAACAGAACCAAGCAAGACCAGTATTCAGCAAGTTAAATGTGTATTGTCAGAGACTGGATCGAGACAGAGGATTGTCTCCATGGCGGAGGGCTTCGGCCTCAGCGACTCAAGCCAGGAGTGCTGTGCCAAGTTACATGTCCGTGCCCTAATTTACTTACTGGCAATGAGAACTAAGGGGGATCAACTCTAGTCGATTTTATTACTGAGGTGTAGCCTATGTACAAGTTGAGTATATATAGTTACAGTGAGGGTGGGCCTGTAAATGGTGGGGCTGAGTGGAGTGGAGCTAACGGAGTTAAACATTAGCTGATTGAATATTACCGACGAGTCGGGTTACGGGGTTAGCGGAATGGCAGGCAATAACCCAGAAATGGAAAGGAGGGATAGGCCTGAAGGTGGGCTTGCAGGGCAAGCGAGTGAACTGCCCAGCAGACGTGGGAGTGTGCTAGCGGATGTTGGAGCTGTCCGGAAGGCTTTGGGGCTCTGTACTTAGGGAGGTGTAGGTAATATATTGAATTGAGGGGGTGGTGACCATCAAGGAAAGCAGAGGTGATTGCGGAATATGGGAGCTCCGAGGTTAGTGAAGGAGGAGTGGAGGTAGTCTGGAAAGATCAGAGGTAGTGGAAGTCGATGGCTGTGGATGGATATGACATGTATGTTATCCTAATATTCAATGTTATCCTAACATGGGTGCTTCTATAATCTACAAAAACCATGGTTACCCCTGTCAAAGACCATTGTGCAGAATCCAAGTGCGATGACCCAGGTTTTTTGCCAACCGGGTTTTTTCCATGGAGCAAAACACCATAGGCAAAATACTATGATCTTGCAAATAACTTGGGCTGCACAATGTTAATTACCGCAATTTACTTCCCACTGTGTGTGTGCTGTGAGCGGACTGAGTGTATGAACATCAGCGTGAGTCTTGGCTTGCTGTACTTGCTCAGCCCGGGGGCATTGGGTTCAACACCTCCTAGATACTCCATTATAGACTCACTATGCAAGCTGGCCAACCTCCGGTACACAAGTCCGCTCCTAGTTATTCTCCACCTCTTTGTCCCAGTATCGTCACCCTCAATCACTATGTGCCCTCCTATATACCTGTAGCACAGTGTGGATCCTTCGTGACACCCCTCGGTGGAACATCTCCATTCTACCCCATCATATTCACGTACAGACCATCTGCAAGGGATCCTACACAAATTCCTGTTGGAGGAACTGTGTGCTATGGGAGGCCGGACGAGTTTTCGTACAGCCACATTCCCACATCCGAGTGAGGAACTCACCCGGACAGCCACATTCCCGCAGTAGTGTGACTACAACACCTCTTTTATATTATTTCGGACTAACCCGTGCCAGGCCACGGACATATTCATTCATTTGAATTCATTTCCTTTTCCCCCAGTTCTTCACACATATTGGCTGAGACTGAGGTTAGTTAGTTACATTCCCTCATTGCTTTATCATTGTAACTTATATTATGTATATTACCTCTAGTCATTACTCATAGGTAATATATCCAGTTCTTCACGCATATTAGCTGAGACTGAGCTTGACGCTTCTAGTCCAGCTCCGAGATCATAAGTCGCTCATCAACAATTCCTAGGTTCTGTGCATCAAATTGGGGTCTTACTCTCAATATTCATGTGCATGATTTCCTCCATTTTTTACCGTCTCTCACACTCCCTGTAAATTAGCCTGGTGGTAGATTTACCTGTTCAGGTATCTGAGTGCGGACCATATATAATGCCTGATGAGAGGCTAAGTGTTCATTCATGAGGCACAGGTCCACAGGGAATCGAATAATCAGGATTGGTCATCATGAACGGGGGCATTGGAAGGAAATGATGATGTCAATTCAACATGTCAAAAGGAGCAATTACATGCATATGCCAAGAGCCCACTAATATGCAGTAAACTCTGAACAGGTTCACCTCCAATCACTAAAAGTTAAAAATTAGTCAAGTTAGAAATTAGTATTGGCAGTTGCGATTCTTGTATATGCCCAGCAAAGTTAAAACCAACGTGGTCATACCACGCAAGTGCTAAATGGAGGGGGGTACAAGTCCATCTAAATTGATGAATGTGATCATCCCTCCCTCTCCACCAATGCTGGCATGGTTACCGTGTTCCGCAATTGGACAGCTAGGCTTAAAGTAATCAGGTAGCCAACAGATGTGCAGGGCAAGGTTTTCGCACTTGATAAGAGATGGGTGGGTGAAGATTTGTGGAACATCAGGAAATTGTCGTGGTCAACTTTGGACACTTCTGATGATCCTGTTGCTTCTAATACAATGAAACTGGCCAAATTGACCGATTTCCCAAAGCATTTCAGTAAAGGTGTCATGTTTCAATTCAGTTCAGAAGTGAACTCAATTGTTTTCAAACCATTTGAAGTGAAACCCTGAGGACCTTTTGCTGATGAAGGATGTTGAAATTTGGTTGGATACATCGCTTAACTTTGGAAAGCTGAAATATTTTGTCTCTTTCTGACCTCGGACGTGAAGTGTTAAGGCATTGGTGGAAAATAGCATTTGGTGGGGACAAAAGATCTCATTGAGCTGTGTCAGCTCAATGCAACTCCTGTCGGCAATGTCCCAGGCACACACTCTGCCATCCTTGGAGGCCGAAACAAGATGGCGTCCATCAGGCAAAAATTCCACACAGGATATGGTGTCAACATGACCTTTCGTTGCCTTTGGCCCTCAAGTGGGTGATTCCATTGTTGCATCCCATACATGTACAGTGCCATCAAAAGATGCCGAGGCCAGATAACAACCATCTGGCGAAAAATTCACAGACCAAACCCAATCAGTATGCCCTTTCGGCTCTCGAAGAGGTGCTCCTGTTGCCGCATCCCAGATGTGCACTGTGTGGTCATCTGAAGCCGAAGCCAAGTGACAGCCATCTGGCGAAAAATCCAGGGATCTGATTATACCAGTATGTCCATCGAAGCAGGACTCCTGTCTCTGCATTCCAGACATGTATGGTTCCATTCCACATGCCTGAGGCCAGATAACATCCGTCTGATGAAAACTTCACAAAACAGATGCTGTAGTGATGCTCCTCCAGTGTTCGAAAAAGCGCTCCTGTCGATGCATCCCAGATATGCACGTTGTTATCATCTGAGGCTAGATAACGCCCATCTGGTGAAAAGGAAACGGACCAGACAAATTGACCATGATTCGTCAATTCCCAGAGGGGCTTCCATGTTGCTGTATTCCAAACTCCCACAGTGCGATTGTACAAGGCTGTGGCCAGACGAAGGCCATCAGGGGAAAATGTCACAAATTTCACCATGCCAGTATGCCCCTCCAGTTTTCGAAGGCATGCTCCCATTACCACATCCCAGAACCGCACAGTACAATCATCCGATGCAGAGGCCAGATGAATGCCATCTGGTGAATATGCAACGGAATTGACCTCACGAGTATGTCCCTTCATTTCCCTCAGAAGCACTCTCATCGCTGCATCCCAGATACGCACGATGCCATCCCTACAGGCTGAGACTAGATGACAGCCATCTGGAGAAAATGCCGCACAGCAGGATCCACTTGGGCTGTGAATTATCCCCGCTTGCAGTGACCGTGGTTGGCTGCTATCCATTCTATGAGAAACAATACGGCATTCAACAGCCCACTTCTTTGAAAATGTTGCATCCAACACGCTACCTGATGGAATAAATGGATGGCTACTTCCAAGTATAGATAAGGACGAGGCCGCTAATGCACCCTGGGATCGCTCGACCAGACAGAGCAGGTCGCGAATTATGTGACTTATACTATTGACTGCTTGAATGCTGACCTTCAAAACGCCAAAGTGAGCCATACGCTAGTATCCAAGTAATTTTTGATGCACTAGCCATCGCTGTAGTTCTTTCACGCTTTGGCACGCTTGGTCAATTTCACCCATGATTCCCATTGCCACAATCTAGTGGAGAAGGGCCGGGACAGCGTTGGAAAGGGCCTTCATTGTTTCACCATCATGGGACTCATCCGACTTGCAAAGGAGAGTGACCCAATGACGACACACAAACTTCAGCTGTGTCATCATCAACCTCTCAAACTCATGTTGGAGCTCAGGGATTTCTGCATCTACTTGGAAATGCCATAACGTTGGCAACTGATCCAGCACTGCACATCGCCCAAGCAGTTCCAATGCAAAAAGCACCATGCCCTTCCTTGGAGAGTGCCTGAAAAATGGATCCACATCATTTTTGAACGAATCGTAGGTAACTGGGGGAGGGAGATGCTGTCAGAGACCAGGTCGAGACAAAGGAATGTCTCCATGGTGGAGGGCTTCGGCCTCAGCGACTTATGCCAGGAGCGCTGTGCCCTAACTTACTAACTGGCAACCTGTCAGGGCAACCACACCTAACCATACAACCCCAGAACCACCTTCCCAGACCTCCCCCCACTCCCCTCATCCTCCCATCTTTACACACCTCTCATAACCACAGCCCGCATGCAAACCCGTGGGAAAAATCATGTGGGTCAAGGTGAGCAACTCGCCTTAACCCATGTGACACCTTTTCCGCATCGTGGGAACATGCTCGGCTTCTACCCATAGTCACGTTACAAACTGTATAGTACATTTTTTATAGCAGCCAAGTGGGGAATAGGGAAACTTACTCTTCTTCTCAACTCAATCCCTGCTTAGGCAAGTTGTAGCTACCTTCCATAATACATGACAACTCAATCCCTGCTTAGTGAGTTTGAGGAGCTTGAGATAGGATCCAGCACCTGGCTGCCTGGGACACCGCAAGTGCCCAGCTCTGAGGTAGGGCCACCCCCGGACAGAGGCCGGGCCCTGACACAACCAGAACTGAAGGGGGTAAACTCTAGTCAGTTTTATTACTGAGGTGTAACCTATGTACAAGTTGAGTATATATAGTTACAACAAGAGTGGGCCTACAAATGGCAGAGCCAAGCGGAGCGGAGCTAATGGGGTTAAACATTAGCTGATTGAGTATTACCAACAAGTCAGGTTACAGGGTTAACGGAATGGTAGGTGATAACCCAGAAATGGAAAGGAGGGATAGGCCCAAAGGTGGGCTTGCAGGGCAAGCAAGTGTATTGCCCAGCAGAGGTGGGAGTGCGCTAGCGGACATTGGAGCTGTCTGGAAGCCTTTGGGACTCCGTACTTAGGGAGGCGTAGGTAATAAATTGAAAAGAGGGGGTGGTGACCATCAAGGGATACCAAGGTGATTGTGGAACATGGGAGCTCCGAGGTTGGTGAAGAAGGAGCAGAGGTAGTCCGGAGAGATCGGAGGTAGTGGAAGTCAATGGCCATGGATCGATATGACAGATGCAGTGTAAGAGCTTCTTGCAGCTACTGAATAGATTAGACAGTTCACGACTCCGACTCCAGCATGATCCACATACAGATGGTTCCAAGAGGTGTATGATACTCGATATTGGAGTGGTGAGATTATCTTGAAGTTGTTCCCATGATGGGAGGATCTGAACTAATTTACTAGAAAACAGGAAGTTAGTGGGAGTTGCGTAAGATAGGCCGTTCAGTGGAATAACCAATTAATTTACTGACTCGGTGAAATTGTTTGGGAAGATCCGTGCGCCTTGGGTTCCATAGAGTCCATGTAGGTGTTCGTGTAATGTTCATTGCAATGCAGCAATGGGGGCTTGGGTGGGTGTGGAGCTTTGGACTAAGTCAAACCTCCAATGGTTATAAACGGACTGATAGCTCAAACCTGATCAGTGATGGTGAATGACAGCACGCAGGCTATTCTCTCACATGATGCTGTTTTACAGTATCGAGGACAGACTTCACAGCCTTCGTTAGCCTTGAATCTGCCATTAAATCAGTGAATTTTATGATTGTCTCTGGATTGGCATTAATGTATTTGGCAATGTGTGAATATGTCAGAACTGTGATGCAGTCTCGTCTCTCAGCACTGATTGTGGGATGGTTAAGATACCTGTTAGATACTGATCCAGGGGCGGGCACTGAAGGTCGCCGATGCGGACCGCTAAGGGCCACGATGGCCGTGATGCCTCAGCAACTCTAAAGGGAGTGCTGTGCCCCCTAGTTGTCTCTTGGCCCTCATTTCGAACTTACTGGGGCTGCCTTGTTGGGGTCAGGGCTTGGGGTCGTGGTCAAGTCGATATTAGAGCTGAGGTACTATAATGTAGTATACAGGATATATATATGAAGATAGAATGAAGACCCGGGCCGAAGGCCGAAGGGTCCGGAAGCAAATAGGAACAACGAGCGGGGTTGGCCGCACAGCAGCCGGCAATGACTGAGGGTCAAAACAAACAATAACAGATAAATAAACGAAGGGGTGTAGGGCCGCGATAGCAGCGATGGTATCATAGCGGAGTAGGTGATGTCGCGGAGTCACGCTAGGTCGGTGCCAGAGGCGGACTCGGGGCAGGGAGGTCGGTGTGGCTGTGGGGGAGTTGGCCAGGTGCAGGGGAGCCTAGGGGCAAGCGGGGAAGTGAGCAGGGAGTCCTCATGGAGGATAGGGCTGAGGTTGGGGCTCGCGCTCGTGCTCGCATAGCAGGAATGGGCTCGGGCGGCATCGGGATGGGCGGCTAACGGGCCGGGATGCATGGTCGTGACAATACCCTCTCTCATACTTTGCCCTGAACCTCCACAGCAACATTTCCTGAATGATGGAAGCGAAAAACCAACAATTTTCCTACATGTAGTTAGTGGACCACTGATGAGGACACCTGCTCGGCCATTGACACTTACTTTGGT